AGGGAGTGGGAAGCAGGGCAATTGCCCGGGACTCCATACCATGGGCTTCTGGGAATCCAAGTTACATGTGCTTGCCCTGGGTGACAGGACTTGGAGTTCAGGCATGTGGAAATGTAAGTACAATATTCATATTCCAGTCAATTGAGTTGATAATTATATGATAAAAATGGGAAAGTAAGCAAATGTTCAGTGTGCAGTGTCTGATTTTGAAAGTTTAATTGAGGTGAAATGTGGGGCAAGACAAACTAGACTCCTGAAATGGATATAGCAGTCGGGAAAGGTTGAAAATCACTGGTCTAAGGAATTGTTTCTGATTTCTGGATTGGGTATCATAAGAGTGAAAGTCCTAACACATGTTCAGCTCACTTTTGAACTCTCTATTGATGCTATTATGTAACAGTTGAAGATGGTAGTCTTTGGTGTATGGGCAGTATCTACTAGACCTGCTGCTCTATTCCATGGTTAAGCAGAAAGGCAAAATGAAATGGACAGAATCGCTGAAATGCTCTGTGCTTGCACAATGATATCAAGTCACTTTGATGCTCTGCTTACACATGTAATTGAGTAATATGGATTGTGGGATAAGGAAAATACTCCAATTGCAAATACTGTAAGTAGGATGTCCTAGAACTGTGGAGTAGAATACCAACATACTGTCAATGTATTTCCTACTTCAATCCCTGAACATCAATGGAATCACAGTGGCAAAAATATAATCAAGCAATGCTCTTGGTTTCTTTTTTACACCAACAATAATAATTATAAGTTTTCCATCACCATTGATCCAAAAGTAGTTTGTACGTATTTGAGATACAGCCACCTTTGGGGCAGAACACAGGCATCATTCTGTGAAACTTATACAACAGGTTAGGACATGAAATAGGATGAGGGTGAGAGTGGGTGGAGTGAAAGAAGATAGATAATTGGAATTTGTCCTGGATTAGGACATTTAATATTCCTAATCTTGTGAATAGTGCCACTAAAATTAAAATGGCAAGCAGTCTGTGTTTTAAATCTCACATGTAAGACAAGAGACAAAAGATATTGTTTAACTCAGAAATTCAGTACACAAGCATAACAGAAATGATTCACCAATGGCTCTGTAAAACACATACATAACTAGAATCAATATACATTAAAGATATGTCAACCAGGGATACATAGTGTCAGCAGTATTTTATGGCAAATCCTTCCTTTTCAAATTGATAAAAGGACTGATTTACTTCTAGATTTAATTCTACACAGATTAGTGGTCACGTCAGCACTTGAGATGCTAGAGGGGAAAAATTGGTATTCTATTTGCCTTTAAAATAAAAGGCACTGGACACCTGGCACCCTATAAATACTGTGACACTGTACGATGGCAAACATAGGCACAATGCAGTGCTTATTCTGAACTGGAATCCATCTGTACACTACAGTAGTAAGACAAAAGAGGATTGTTAGCACTTAAAGGCACCTTGACGCAGTCATACCACTTGACTGTTTTATTAATTGCCCCATCTGTTAAGTGAGAACTTTCTGACATAGGTTGGTACAGTACTCTTAAAGCCCTTGGTCTGCTTCCTATTGGTTCCACATGTGTTTGTGTTTGTTCTCAGTAGGCAGAGATTCCAGAGAGAAAATGAACCGCTGCAGATCGATTGCAGTATCAGTCATGCAGAAGACATGGTAAAAAAATGCCATTTTAGTTTGGTTTAATATTAACCCTTTGAAGATGGAAGAAAAAGAAACTTTGGTTTTAGTTCCTGAATGCACAATTGGGCTAATCCAGGATTTGTGTCACATCTATGTTACACAACTCATTAGAGCTCTGTTCTTTTTGATAAATCTGTGCAAATTACATTTCTACCACTGCCTTTCTTGGAGTTGTGCACTTTACTGTAGCCAAACCAGATAACATTATTATCACGTGAAAGATTACACTGCTGTGTTGAATAATAGTGCTCCTCTTATATAGCCTTGATAATACAGTGAAAAAAATTACATGGCCAGTATTTGAGGCTGAGGCCTAATGTGACAAAAACCAGAGCAGTTAAAGTTAAGGCCACAATTCATGCCACTATAAATAAAACAAAGGCACAGTGGATTGACTTAAGGAGGCAGAGAGTGTGTAAGACTTCAGTATTCAAATTTCTTGATATTGCTGGTTGGTGTCAGAAGTACAATAATATTTAGGCCTACGTTTTAAAACATAATTTTAAGAGGAGCAAAAAAGACCATTAGTATAAAGATTCCGGTAAAACAAAAAGTTGTTATCCACTGGAAAACACCAATGGAAAACTAGAAAGTCAAATATCATCTTAATACTTAGTCTGCATGATGTAATTATAATAAAGAGGATTTAGACATGGGGCTGTGTCTACATTGGCATCCCTTCCCGGAAAAGGGATGCTAATGAGACACATCGCAATTGCAAATCCGTGGGGGATTTAAATATCCCCCGCGGCATTTGCATTTACATGGCTGCCGCTTTTTTCCGGCTTGGGGATAAGCCGGAGAAAAGCGCCAGTCTAGACGTGATTCTCTGGAAAATAAGAGATCCTCTGGAAGAGGGTTTATTCCTACTTTCAAGGGCCTACTTTCAAGTAGGAATAAGTGATCCTCCAGAAAAGGGTTTATTTTCCGGAGAATCACGTCTAGACTGGCGCTTTTCTCCGGCTTATCCCCAAGCCGGAAAAAAGCGGCAGCCATGTAAATGCAAATGCCGCGGGGGATATTTAAATCCCCCACGGATTTGCAATTGCGATGTGTCTCCTTAGCATCCCTTTTCCGGAAAGGGATGCCAATGTAGACACAGCCTTACACACACAGGTTTTGCTACACTTGAAATAGATGCAGTAGAATCTTAAAAATTTGAGAGCTTGGATTGGATAAAGCCATCTAAGCAACTTAAATTTTTAGAGTGAAGACTTGTGGTGGTTCTTATTTGATGCAAGGTTTATGTGTGGTGGAGAGTTATGTGTAGCAGGTACTCACTAACAGGGAGCTCTAAGTAATCTGTGTTACTCCCGGAACCTTGTTAACCCTGTTGTCCATTTTAGGACTTGTGATGGAGTTTTACCTCACATTAAGAACATAATGTAAGAACATGTTCTTATTGGCCTATAAGGGGTTATTAGAATCCTAGGCAGGCTGCACAAAAAGCAGCCAATGGGAAAGGGCCTATGAGGGGCAACCAGACAAGTCTGGACCATATAAGAAGAAAAGTCAGCATCTTGGTTAGACAAGTGCTGGGCATGATCAGGGTTGAGTGAAAGAACTCCCAACTGGGTTCTAAGACTGGTATGCAGAGGTTCTGAGATAATGGTGGAAAATGCAGACCTGTAGCTGCCCCTGAAGGGAGGGGAATGAGTGAAAGCCTCTGAGACAGTTTGATGGCCACCCCAATACGAGGGGAGTGGGAAAGGCTTCAGTAGGACAGTGGAGCTGCCATATGTGGAAGCCTTTTTGATGGAAGATGGGTTTATCTTCTTAGGAGGGACTTGAGAGTTGTTGCTCCCATGGAAGGGGGTTGATGAGCCAACAAAAGGGGTTCCAGCCTCTAATGAGCCAGATCCTATAGAACCATTGGCACCAGTGGGAGGCACAGAGACACCTGCAGAAAAGTCTGAGGCAGTTGTCAGAAGAACAGCATTATTCGCTCAAGATCTTCTAGGAGAGGAGCAGAGTCTAGAGGACATGGGGCAAGAAGTGAGGCCCCAAGGTGAGGAGGTCAGAAATCTGACTAGAGCAGTGTTATGTCGGTGTTATACTTAGCCACATTGGCCTGTAAAGTGTTAATGGAGTCCTAGGTAGGCTGTGCAGAAATCAGCCAGTGGAAGAGGGGCAAGAGCAGGGTTAGTTGCACCCTGGCGGGGATAAGAGCCATATAAGAGCTGTTGAGTGAAGAAGTGCTCAAGCTGGAGCTCAAGGAGGGAGGACTGGCTGCCTTGCTGGCAGAAGAAAACTAGCATCCTGGACAGAGCAATGCTGGGCATGAAAAAGGTAGTGAGGAAAGTTCCCAGCTGTTTAAGACTGGTATGTCAAGGCCCTGAGATAAAGATGAAGAAGGTGCTGGAGTCGGGAAAGTGGCCCAGGGAAATGTACTGAGAGATTGGAGACACAGCATGGAGTTGCCATTTATAGGGTTCCTGGGCAGGAATAGAAGGCAGGCCTGCTTCACCCCTCTCCCCTCACTTTCCACAGAATAAGTGGCTGGACAGTTAAACTTCAGTAGTGACCCTATGCAGAGTGTGGCACAGCTAGAGAGCTGCCATGTATATTGGCCAAACTGGACAGTCTCTGCACCACAGGATAAACGGACACAAATCACACATCAGGAATGATAACACACATAAACCTGTGGGGGAACATTTTAACCTCCCTGGACATTCAATAATGGATTTAAAAACAGCCATTCTTCTGCCTGATTACAGAGGGAGACATCTGAACTGGAGTTCATTTACAAGTTCAACACTATCAACTTAGGCTTGAATAAAGATCTTAACTTGCTAACACATTAGAAAGGCAATTTCCCTATCTTTGATTTTCGCATTTCCACATCACATGCTATGAACGAGACACATCTAGTCAGACTTAGTTAACTTCATTAACACTGGTCTAACAATTGACAGGTAACTTCTTTTGTTGTAATATCTAGCCTGGATTCTGTAATTTTCACTCCAAATCATCTGATGAAGTGGGTTTTACTCACAAAAGCCCATGACCTAATACATTTGTTAGACTGAAAGGTGCCACAGAACTGCACGTTGTTTTTTAAGGTCTCAAAAAGTAATTGTAAACAAGGAAGCATTACATAGGGAGTGTGTTTCCAGTGGGATTTCACAAAGATCAATTCTTGGCCATATGCTAGTTAGCATTTTTAACACTGATCTGGAAGAAAACATAGAATCATCACTGATAAATTGAAAAATTGTGCAGAAGCAGAAAAAACAGGTCTTAACGTGGCTAAATTCAAATATCTACATCTAGGAACAAAGAACACAAGCCATACTTACAGGATGGGGGGACTCAATCCTGGGAAGCAGAGACACTGAAAAAGATTAGAGGCATCAGCTGAATACGAGCTCCTAGTGTCATGCTCTGGCCAAATTATATTTAATTCTAGGATGCATAAAACAGGGGAATCTCAAATAGGAGTAGAAAGTTATTTTATCTCTGTTTTTGGACTTGTGTGACTTCTGTTGGCATACTGTGTCCAGTTCTGCTAGCAATAATGCAAGAAGGATGTTGATAAATTGGAGAAGGTCCAGAGAAGAGCTGTGAGAATGATTAAAGGATTAGAAAGCATGCCTTATAGCAGTAGACTCAAAGAGTTCGATCTATTTAGCTTAACATAGAGGCATTTAAGGAGTGACTTCATTTCAGTGTATTATTATCTACATGGGGAACAAAGATTTAATAACAGACTCTTTAATCTATCAGCAAAAAGTATGCCATGACCAGTGACTGGAAGCTGAAGCCAGACAAATACAGACAAGAACTAATGAAAACATTTTTTTAATGGTGAGAGTAATTAACCTTTGAAACAATTTGCCAACAGTCATGCTGAATTCTCTATCACTGTCAGTTTTTAAATCTAGATTAGATTTTTTTCAAACAAGTTCTGCTCTGGGATTTATTTTGAGGAAATTCTCTGGTCTGTGTTAGACAAGAAGTCAGACAAGATGGTCACACAGGCCCCTTTTTGCCTTGGAATCTAAGAATCCATAAATCTATTTTTTGAGGAAGCCTGCTCTTGCTGACATTTCAGTCCATTTCCACATATCAAAGCAGTTCTGATAGTTCCAATAAGGCTCAGATAAGCATTTGAAATTATGTATGCTTATCTGAATCTTATTCAGCTCTACTATGGGCTGGTGAAGCAACAAGCTTGCTTTCATTTGCGACCAAATTTAATTTGAATCCAGGGGTTTTTTTAGAGAAAAATTAACATCATTGCTCTATTGTGTTTGAGATCCTATATCATTTATATAATTAAAATGATGAGAGAAATAGGCATAATTGCTGGATTTTTTATGTTTGGGCTTCAAATTACAGAGCAAACAACTGATTTGACCAAGTCTGTGAGGCAGTTGTGGATGCAGTCCTCACAGAAAACATGGGGAAAATGGATGTTTTCGAGGATATGATATGGATGATCACAGAGCAGATTGTAAAATTAAGGTAAATGAAAAAATAGAAAAGCCATTTTCAACTCTACGGGATGAACTGGGGAGTGTTCACGGTTGGGATTTTTGTTTCTTTAACAATCTCTTAAGTGTCCTCCAAGTATACCTCATCTCTTCAAATTCCTCCACTGGCTTCCTCCTTGCATCATTTCCAGTTTCTTATCTGTCCCTTTCTATAATTAATAGTTCCCCCCTTTGTGCATTTCTGTCTTTTTTTTATGCTTACCCCTTATTTTTGTCCAGTGAATCCAATTTCAACACTCCCTCAAATCAGTGTACAAACTTGCTTTCATAGTAACTCCCATGCTCAGAGCCCCATCCCATTGTATCAGGCAACCACCTTCTCTTTCAAATTTCCTTTCAAGATTTACTATTCCCATAATCCATAACCTACTTCAGTTAACTGCAATGCCAGCCATTCCTGAAATTAAAGTGAGAACTATACAAACTTCATTCAGAGAAGGAACCATTTTTTGGGTCAGTAGGTGCATTATGTTGTCTATTAGGGAAGAGAATTTTCATCTTCTGCATCTTGTACAGTGCCAGGCACTCCATCTCACAATAGCACATCTGCCTTGTGTTGGTGTTGTGCTGCTTCATGTTATCATGACGAGGATTGCCAGATGATTTAACTAAAAATACCAAACATCCCCCCCCCAAAAAAAACACTGGGGAAAAAATTCTGTCAAGGGGAAAAAGGGGAGGGGGGGCGGGAGACCAAAGATGTTGAGCAAAATAAAAAAAATAAAAAAACAAAACAAAACACCAAGCATGGCCCCTTTAAGAAAAGCCTTTAAAGCTTTTTGCTGGTGGCCATCTTGTTTTCCTGGTCGAGCCAGAAGGCAGCTTCCCTGTGGAACCAAGTAAGCAGGAGTGCCGGGGGGCTTGGGAGAGAGGGCCAAGGGGACGGGGGCTGGGCCCTGTTGCTAAGTGTGTGTAGGGTTGCCAGGTGTTTGGTATTTTCACCTCCTGGCAAATTTTTTTACTGGACAGGAGGTGGAAATACCAGACTGTCTGGGTCAATACCGGACACCTGGCAACCCTAAGATTCATGACTTCTCTGGCTGTTATTCTGGATGCACCACATCCATGTCTTCCAGATTTGTAGGAATTCTGCTATTGATAAAGTGTGTGTGTGTGTGTGTGTGTGTGTGTGTGTGTGTGAAATGAATAATTGAGCATCCTGGAGGATTCCTAAACGAAAGAGTTTGCAGCATTTGTGTGCCAAACACTTCAATAGCCATCAGAAGGGCCCATACTCCCCAGTATAATTATGGTGTTTTGTGTTGCAATTTTGTTTAGTTTTTCTATATTAAATGGACAGGAGAAAAGAGTCTTTTTTTATATTAAGAAGGACTCCTGGATTTTGAAATTTGGCACGGTGGAAAGAAACGCTGAACTATTATTTTCAACAGTATTTCATTTTTGTGTGTGAGAACTTTGCTGTTTGTTTTTTTTTAAATGTCTGCTGCTATTAACAGAGATTGTCCAGCAATTAGCAGCTTGGTAAAGACTGAACAGGCTTGCTACTTGACTGTCTATCGCTTCTGAGGAGCAACAAAATTATGAAACATTCAAACTTAAAATCTTTCAGTAGATAATATTTTCTGTTTTGGATATTTAGCATAAGAGAATAGAAAGATAAAGCAGATACAGTAGGCCTGATTCTCCTCACTAGCACATCTCTTGATGGATTTACTTCAGATTTAAACCAGAATGATAGGAAACTCAAGGTTGTGGACTTCCACATGTCAGTTGGCATTTCAGTTGAAACACTCATTCATAAGGACGATTTAAAATGTCATTAGTTTTTCCAAGTGCTCAACAATCCAGGTTCAAATTGGTTTTTTGTGCTATTGCTTTCTGTTTTGCTCTGCTTTTTTGTGTGAAAGGATCTGTCTACTTAATCTCCCCTCCCCTGGAACTTACAAATTAGAAGGTGCATCTTAATTTTGTAGTGCTCCTGGATACTATTGGAGGAGCAGGATATTAGAAATATATTAAACAATATGTAGTTTGACTGGTGCAGGCAAAAACTTTGAAGCACGTGAATAAGGGAAGCCACAATAGTTTTAGCTTCCAATGTATCCCCACAGTGCAAAATATAATATTTTAACAGTGAGTACAGAAATGAAGGTCACTGGTTTTTTTTCTTCATTTAATTGGCTACTGGCATTGTACTTGGTGCTACACTCCAAGGGAAGAGAGGAATCTCACATTTTAAGTCTTCACCATTTAAGGGCTTCATCTTGCAAACCCTAGTGGGTCTAATTTTGAGTATCAAGCATGGTTCTTTTGATTATGTGAACATACTAAAATTCAATTTATGTTTCTTATAAACCATCTAGAACCAGTGTTTGGGAAATATCAGCTGTTCCAGAATCATTTTATTAGACTATGAAGGGGTGGACTAAGCCCCAAAACCCCCTGCTGGAAGTTTGTGGCCCTACCTCACCCTGCCCCAGAAAGAAAGCAGGGGAGAAGGCTTCCAGGCTGGCTAGAGTGGCTGCTTCTGCTGCATCCAATCAGGGCCTAGCAAACCAGTATAGAAAAACTGCTGGGCCAGAGCTAGTCAGTTTTTTTTTTTTTGGATCTCAATCTAGAAGACAGAGTGGCAGTATCTTGGACAGTTGAGTGTGGAGATTGGAGTGTAGACCTGGCTGAAGCCCTGCGTCGGCTACTGAAAACTGGGTGTGGTGCTGCTGGGGCATTGAGAGACAGCCCTGAGGAGAGAGCAAGAATGGTGTGTCTCATAGGGTAGTGGCCCATTGAGGGAGGATTGAAGTAAAACCTTAAGAACTGGTGCTCAGCAGACAACTGCTATTTACAGGGTTCCTGGGCCACTTTCTTTCAGCCTGCTGTCAGCACAACATTTTGAACAAAAGCTCTGTTTTGTTTTGAGGTTTTGTGTGTGTGTGTGTGTGTGTGTGTGTGTGTGTGTGTGTTTAGACATAACGATTCTTTGACACACTGCAGAAAAAATGGAATATTGAAGATGCAGGATCTCCTCAAGTGAAATGGTGAACATTTCAGAAGCAAAATTAAGAAGCTTTTGCTGCTTCTGAAAAATTCCACTGAGGAAAAAAAAGCCAGTAGGCAACAATACTACATAAGCAAAAAACCGTCTTTAGGGCTGGATCCTGTCATTTTTAGTGTAAGCCTTTCAAGAGGAGTTGTTTTTATCTCTCCCAGAGTGGTTTTGGCAATGGAGATGAGGGCTTTGATCTCATCTCATGGTTTACGATGTCAATAGAACCCCAGGATGGGTGGAATTATAAGATCCTGTTAAATGGCTGGTTATCATCGAGCTGTCTTTTTCTCCTTAGAATATATATTTGTTGAAAAAATGTCAGGGTCAGCCAGGCATGAAAGTTTCCAGGTATGCATAAAAGGTATGTAAGATTACCTGCTGTTCCAAGGCCCCCTGACAGAAGACCATATGTGCATCTATCTCCTAACAGAGCTGTAGTAAGGAGGCTGTGGTGATTTTCCTTGCTTTGGAAGGTTTGTGTCAGAATTTTCCTGTGGTTCTAGAGCAATCGGGTGAATTAGCAGCACATGTGTTGACATTGCAACCAAGATTCCACAGAATTAAGTTTATGCTAGACTCTTCAAAGATTGTAAGTTTCTGTTTCCATTGTGATCACACCATGAGTTCCTTCAGATACTTTTGTTTTTTTTTAATGAGTTGGACACTACATTGAAGTGAATGAGTGCTGTGTATCTCAGTAAACATTTAGGAAGATTAAGTACTATTCATATTCAGATTTTACTTTTCAAACTTAAATGGAACCAGTACATTTCAAATATTTATTGATTGATTGATTGCTCATTTATCTCAAGTTATAGATAAATAATTACTCAATGAAAAAACCACCACCAACCCAAAATAATGAACCCAGCGTCCAAGCCTAAAAGTCTGAATGCCCTGAGGTCCTGCTAAAGGGGGGGGAACTAGGAATACAACTCTAGAAACTAATGAATAATTGTTTGCATAGAAAATTTCACCCCAATTAAAACCATGTTGTGCTAGAGAGTGTTTTCTATAGACACACACAGAGAGATCTGTGTATAAGAGAGAGATCTGTGTATAAAACACGATGTAAAATGACAAACCTTACCTTGGAAGGTAATGTGGCAAGTAGCAATGATCAAGTTTCTGAGAATCAACCATTTGGATCCTTCCACATCCATGCATTCCCAGCACACACATCCTGTCACCCTGGCCCTCATCCTGTGAAAAATGAATATTACACAAACACTAAGCAGTATGTTGCTGACAAGATTCCTTAATAAACCCTTTATTTCTAACAACATAGTTTTGGTATAATCCATAATTTGACAGCATTTTAAAATGATTTATAATTAAGAGCTAGAGCTCATGGAATAGAACATTGTCACAGGTTAATGGTCTCCTGTTGCTGTATAAATGCAGAAATGTTTATTTTCCAAGCAGGAGGTATTGTTCCTCTGACCGTGTTCTATTACAATGACATTATTTCTGTTATACCAAATGACTAGTGCAGATTTAATCATTTTATTGGATGGATGCAGGTGCAGCAAAGTGACAGTTGCTGTTTATTTTGATGGAGGTAGTAGGGCTTACATACTAAAGAGATGAGGCCTTTGTAAGTACCCAGCGAAACTTATGACTTAAGAGGACAGAAGGGCCAGAATGCACACATTCACTAAAAATAAGAAAATCTCCTTAGTATTCAATGTTTATTATTATTATTATTATTTTATTTATTATTTTATTATTTTATAGCTCCCTAAAGTGACCTAGAATCTCCACAGAGGAAAAAACATGTCCCAGACTCAGTCAAATCATTCCAAAAACATGTCCCAGACTCAGTCAAATCACAATTTTGCTATGAGAAACTTATGATCACAAGTCCTGATCCTGCACACACTGGAACTGGTATGCAGCCTCACTTGTATTAGTAGTTCCCTTAGGCAAAATAGTTCAGTGGGGACCATTCTCGGTAGCAGAGCTAAACAAATTTTTCAGTGTTTGTAGGACAGGGGCCTGAACAAGGCTTGACAAGGGAAAAACAGGCAGGAGTGTCGAAACAATTTCTGTAGTGGGAGTGTTGAGAGCCATTGAACCAAACTATAAATCCTGTATGTGCTGAGGTGTGTGGCAGTACCCCTAGTTCCAGCACTTATGAAAACAAAACAGAAGAGGGAATACAAAGGGGGGAGGGAGGAAACCAGGGTTACAAATTCACTTTAATGTAATTACTTTGGGGAGGATTGGGCAAGCCGCAAGCAATGCATGGCTTGTAGTGACTTTTAACCCACCTTTCCAAAAACTGACTAGTGCCAGCTGAGTGGATTCAGTCAAAATAAGTGGTTTAGGAACTTCCATTTCTACTCTTAGCATGGGGCCTGGGCCTCCGGGGTAACATATGGAGAAAAAAGTGTGGTCATGGTGCTATGATGGTAAGGAAGAAAGTGGGCTCAGAGTCTGTGGGAAAGGAGTTGGCCAGGCTTGCTGGAGGGAAGCAGAAGATCTTAGTCTAGAACTTCAAATACATATCCCAAATGCGAACCTAAACCCAACTAAAAAGGACTTCCTGAACTCTTGGGGAAGACTTGCCCATCGGCTAATTAAATGACAGCCCTATAAATTGTTTCAGTGCTGAATATGATGCCAGTGGCTAATGCACAGATCCACAGCTGCTTGATTTGTTTTGCATCTTCCTTGCCTCCATTGAGTGGTAAATGGGTAGATAACTGCTGCTTGAATATATGCCCATTACTGTATTGAAGAGGTTAAGCAACAGGCATGGACAAGTGAGTCCAGTCTTGGTTTTGATCCACTCCTGTCCCCTGTTCCACTCCCTCTTACCCCCCCAATAGATAGTTAAGTTAATCAGAATCCATTTTCTTTATTAGGGTATTTTTGAACTTCCGTTTTAAACCCTTTATCTAGTTTTAGGGGATATAGCATTTCCATTGATGTTCTGTTTAAATAGTCTGTACAAAATTAATTAAAGAAAAAGTTATGTTCTCTGTGGCTACGTATAGACTACAAGCCTCTTTCGAAAGAGGCGTTTTCGAAAGATACTTTAGAAAAAGCCTCTTTCGAAAAAGAGCATCTAGACTACAACCAGTACTTTCGAAAAAGCAAGCTGCAGTCTGGATGCTCTCTCTTGAAAAAGCACAGTTTGCATTACATAGCGCCTTTTTTCGAAAGAGCACTTTCAAAAAAAGGCATTTTTTTTCTCATAAAACAAGCTTTTCCGCTGTCGAAAAAACTGCTGCGTTCTTTTGATTTACTTTCGAAAGAATGCGGCAGCAGTCTAGATGCAGGGGAAATTTTTTCGAAAAAAGGCCACTTAAAAAAAAAAAAACAACAACCCTGTAGTCTAGACACACCCTATGAGGGTATAGAAAGAGCTTATAGAAGAGAGCAAGAAAGAATTTTTGCACCTCTATTTCTTTAAGGGAATAACTTGAATTTCAAGACTGCTAACCAGGCTGCAGTTATAATATTTTATTAACTTTTGTGCTAGTGTTCCAATCTTTTGTCTGCAGATACCTATTTCCTATCTCAATACAGCAGCACTCCAAGGTAGGTGATGGTGGAGTAAAGAGTGGTTTCTGCAGAACTAATAAATGTGGAAATAAGAAAAAGTGTTTCTTGAAACTTAGCAGTGTTGTCAGAACATAAGCCTTTGCACACTGTATGTCCGAATATCCAGGAACCCTATAGAATACTACACCAGTCCATGTTTAAATCTGTATTAAAGATAGATACTAGCAGGAGACAGTGCTCAAGTTGGGAGATGGTTGCTCCCATGATGCTGTGAGATGATATATTCTGGAAAGCAGCCCAAGGACTATGGCTCTATTTGATCTCATGTCAGTTTTACTCTGGTGTAATTGTATTGACATCAGTGGAATTAGGTTTGATTTATGGAAGCAGAAGGTAAAGCACAACTGAATCCAGTGTCCTGATGCTGTAAAGCAGAACTGAATCCAGCGTTCTGATGCTGTATTAAGAACTAAATTATTTATTTTCTGCTCCTGAACTTTCATGGGATTTGGCTACACTGCTCTTTGAGGTCAAGGGGCTCTGCGGGGTTTTATCCTATGCAAGTGTGGGTGTTAATTCCTACCTGGGTAGATTATATGGGGGGAAAAAAAGATTATCAGTTTCTGCTCACTTACCCCAAATTATTTTCCATTAATGTTTGACAACAGGAGTTGAGTGAGTAAAGGTGGTGTTAGATGGGTGGAGGGAAGATGCAAGCAGAATGAAAGAAGTATGAAGGAAAAAAATGTAGAACTGGTCCAAAAGAGCACATAAAACTGAAGCTAGATCTTGCTATTGCAAAAATGTTCTTCTGAATTAAGTGGACATCAGTCCAGCTCTGTTGGGGAGATCTCACACTCGTATCTGGCACTCCATAGCAGATAACCTAAACTGACACTAACCTTGGCAGAATTACAGAAGTAATATTTTCACTGGGATAAAATGTTGTTGAACAACTTCTCCAGTAAATTACTCATGCTTTCCTGTAGGAAGCATGCATAATTTCTTCTTCCATTGCTTTTTCCCCCTCAGTGCATAATTATATATTATTGTGTCCCAAGCTAGGAAAATCCCACTTCTATTATTCTTTGAGTTGCCCTGTATACTAGCATGGGGCAGAAATGTAGCATTCTTTTTTTGTATCTATTTCAAAATCCATTGCCAGAGAGCAAATGGCAGTGTTCAATGAAGCTACACACTAGTAGTCTTATCATTTGCAGGGGAGGCTTTAGATGTGAGCATGGAAAAAGCCAGTATGTATAGAAGTCTTTGAACCTCAGAGTGAATCTTACAGCTCTTTATGTCTGTGGATGCCCCCATGGTGTGGCAAGTACAGCATCCCTTTCCTTATTGTAGCCTATGTATGACTCAGCAATGAAAAAGTACCTGGACAAAAAGGGGGTTGGGCTAGGAACAGCAATACACTCACAAGAGTAACATTCATTTATGTATCAGTTTAGCCTCATTCATATCCATACACTTAAAACAGCATCAGAAACATTTAATGAAGTCTGTATTAATGTGAGTCCAGAGTGTTTGAAACTAACAAATATTCACTCAGCTGCCTCTGAAACTAATATCCAGGGAAAACTGTGGGCTGTTTTTACTAAACTTGCTTCTCCCAAATCAGTCAGTCAAATATGTTTTCTTTCTTCTCTCATGAGAGACAGGATTGGTTAAGCTTCTTGGGCCTGTGGCATTAAAATATTTTTGTTTTGTTTATATTTTAAGTAAAGGAGCTATTCATTTGTGTATGCTAAAATGATTTTTCTTTCGCTTTTTTTTTTAAACTGCTGCCATTTGAGACTTTCCTGTATAGAGTATTATCTGCCCTTTTTGGTGGCTAGATCTTAGATTTACGCTGTGGGCTACTTCCCCTTATATGTGAATCAGTGTCAATCTAAACTGTTTCATTCTAGAACATGTTTTCTACGGGCACGTCTAC